GTCATTCCAAATATACCATGAAGTGGACATTGATGATGAAGCTGGTGGAGAAACCAGGTTGGAGGAAGATGGAGAGGAAGAGAGCTGCCGTAAGTAGCCAGAGCTAGTGTTAGAAGTTGAAAGATGATCTTTGACCTTCTCGTGACTCATAAGGCACTTGATAACTCCTACCCCTTAGTCAAGAATTTTCAAGCTCAACAAAAACACTTTTAGCTAAGATGTCATTTTTACCCAGCTTCACAAGGACAACTTATTTTAGTTTCTGTGTTGACCAAGTACACTTTTTCACTTTTGACTATCTACTAGCCAGCCATCTTGGTCTATCCATGTCTATTTGCTTGGTCTTGCACTTGGTCCAGACATAGATTGGGTGGTGAGGTCCTATTCCTCCATTGTGGGAAATGGATCATGAGATGTGGTATGGATTAGAGCTGCCAATATGCAAAATAAAGAGAGAGAAATCTTTAAATCAAGAGTCATTTAGAGTTGTATCTGGACTTGCAAGCTAAGGGAATCCTTACAGTGGAAGATTCTTGGGCTACATACCCTGGGTGTATCCCAAAACTTTGTAACACTTTCACAGCCCCAATCTCTGATTCTGCCCTGAGACCGATAAGGAGTACCAGTTATTCCATTTATCACCATTGAAATGCCTAGTTTCCTTATTTGGCTCTTTGAAAGGCCCATAAAGCCAGATTAAAGAATTATAGCTAGTCTTAACAGGTTTTGGCCTATGCTCTGTGGTAGATTAAAGATGGCTACAGATTGTTTGACACTCTTTCAATAAGAGGTGAAGTCTGTGTCCCCTCAGCTTGACTCTGGACACACTCTGTGACTGCTGGGACTGTTTGACAATGGAATACTTTGGAGGTGACACTGTGCCTGTTTCTGTGGTACTTTGTTATGTGGCAACAGATACCTAGAACACACTTGTTGGGTTGAAGGAATGGACATCTGAATATGGTGATACCTCTTAAAGTGGTGTGACAATGAGCATGGTTAATAAAAATCTACGATATTCCTTGTATTGTGCCAAGTTTGGCGGGTAGAGGTATTCATACATGACTCCTGTTTTTCAGAAGTTCACAGTCTAATGGAGATGATAGATGTGTATGAAATGTCAAGATCTGAATCAGTGATAGCACTGATGGGATGCAGGCTTACCAGGGTTCCTTGGGTTATTCTGAAGAGTGAACTGAAAACCACATTTTAAGAAGCATTAGCTGTAGAAATACTACTGAGTTTGGAGTAACTCTCTGAGACCATGCAGGGACTAATCCAGAAAACCTTCACGGAGAAGGTGACAGTTCAGCAAATCCAGACTTCTGGCAGCCTTACATGTTGTGATTGGTATAATCAGACGAGTGCCAAAAGACTTCCTTAACCAAAAATATCTGCCTCACTAGCCCTGCTGTAGTGGCCAAAATTCCTACAAGATTCCACCTTTGAAGGGGCTTTGAAGGTCTTTGCAAATTTTAAAGTGTTGTTTGGAAAGGGTAACCCCGTAGGTCATTTTTAGTCACTAATATATTAGCCTGAATGTCCTTATTTTTATGTTCCATATTATTATATTTTATTGACTATCCAGTCTAGTCCTTGTATACTATAGGTGCTCAAAATCCTTTTTTTCTGATTAAATAAATACTCATCCTGGGCTGAGAAAGTATGGTGTTTAAAGACATAGATGGTTTGAGAGAGAGAGAGACTCCAGTGAGTTTTAAGGAACCTCTCCTTTCAAAGGACAAATTGCTTCCTGGGTGAAGAATGACTATATGCTTTTGAAAAAATAAATACATGTTTAGCACTGGGGGTGGCAGTGAGGAACACAGCAGGATTTGGCGTGATGCATTCAAAGAAGTTGCAATCTAATTAATCACAATTAACCACAGACTCAGAGAAAATTAGTGTATACATATTTTAATGTGGCAGCCATTGAAAATCGTGTAAGAATCAGAAAAAAAAAAGTCAGTTAGAGTGGGCTTCTAGTGCCAAGGAAAGTTCTTTACAAGCTAGTGACAAAAAAGGACCTGACTCTTGCGCAATATGTTCGATGTTGCTCCAGATGCAAAGAACGACAGGAGAGTCTGTGAAAGAATATCAGGACCTAGAGGAAGCCTGTCTTTTGGAAATGATAATTAAGCATAATAATTGTTTGGGTTATGAAGGAAGATAATTTTACTGACTCCTTCTCAGCTGATACCAAAACCAAATCTCTGGGACTATCATGGTCAGAAGGAATTCTTTCAGATATTTTGGTCATCTAATCTCTTTGCCCTACCTATTTCCTAAAAAAGGTTAGGCGCGCAGCATCATTAATCCCATTTCTATATAGCTGACAGCCTTTCTAAAAGGTAGGTCTGATGATAACACTTCCCTGCTTAAAATCCTTAAAAAAAAAATTCCCAATGCCTCAACCTAGCACAGAACTCCAGAGCCTGCCCCCCTCGCCTCTCCAGGCCTCCATCTTGCCACAGCTGTTTACACCGCAGGCTCTGGCCACGCACCTGTGTCTTGAAGCTCCTTTCCCCATAGCCTTTCTCAGCCCACAGTGCCTTCTCTTCCCACCTAGATGAAACTTCTGCCTGTACTACAATCAGCTCAGGCATCAACTCCCTAATTATAGCAATGCACTTATTGTTCTCTGTTGTGCCCTCACTGCACTTAGAAAAAGTTGGTATTCTAGATATTGCTCTGTGCTCCCTAGGCCCACTCTCCTCCTTCCTCTGTTCTCTGGCCCCCAGGGGGCTGGCCTGTATGTACTCTGGCGACCTTGTTCTCCAGCTCCCAGTGGGATTTGGCTAATGGGAGTCACTTGGTAGGAAATCAGGAAGGAGGGTGAATGGGAGATGAGGTATTTACTTCCTGGCTCCTCCTGCCCCCAACCACCACCTGGTTGCTTGCTATGCTTTGTCTGTTCCTTTCAGGCAACCCTATCCCCATAGCTACCCTCTCCTGCTTCTGCGATGCTCTCCCCTGTTCTGATTCTTCGGGTCTCCAGGGTTTGCCATAGTTCTTACTTGCTAGTGACCATGGAGTACTGCCCTGCCCTTGTCTGCTCCCTGAAACCCTGCCCAGGCCTTTTCACTAATTACCCAATCTGAGTGGGCTATCTGTATCCTGTAGAACTCTGACTGATCCACCTGGTTTGCAGAGTCAGATCAGGAGCTTTATAAAACATTCATAATCCGATAAATTGGTATCTTGTTTTTCCCAAGAGGCCATCTGAACTGCCTCTTTGAGCTGTTAGACAGGTAGCCCCAGCCTGCTAACAACAACAGAAAACTTTATTCCAGTTCCATCCCCGCTAATAACTTTTGCACCTCAGATGAGAAGTTTCAATGCCAAGTCCATATACTGAGTCCAAAGCAACAGATCTAGTGAATTTGGATCAGGAAAATGCCAACAGTAGAACTGTAACAGCTGGGTGTACCCCATCCCCATCAGCAGAGGAGGGAACATTTCTGTGGGGCTGGGGGCAACGTAGGGAACCAATCCTGATCTTCTAATCCCACCACCCAGTATGGAGGCAGCAAGTCGATCACATAACAGGTGTTTGTAATTTGGGTTGCCCCAGATAGTTAATCCAAAGTAAATGTTCAACGCACGCATGTAAAATAGAGTTTAATTGGATGATTGCTCAAGCCACCAGCCCTGTGGAGTGCTGACTTGAAACTAGAGTTAAATTTCTGTTTGAACCCGCCAGTTTCTGAAGGCACCCTCTGTCCTTCCTGGGATATTGGTGGCAGAGCTAACATTATGATCCGTTTGTGGACTGTCCCTAGGGAGGACGACCACCCAATAGTCTCTAAATGCAAGCCAAGGAGAGTAACTCGCCGTGAAATGTTTGCCAAATGATAATGTCACATAAACCACAGCGGGTAGAAAATTACACGTCTGAGCTGGGGACAGCCATGCATTTAAAGGTTAAAATCAGCCAGGAATCCCACTGGCTTTCCTCCCTGACACATGCCTGCGTCCACACAGGCAGATGTATCTGAGCCTCTAGGTTGGGGGATCTGGAGAGGTAGCCACCACAGAGAAGGGGTTTTTCATGAGCGTTGCTCGTGGATGAAAGTGAAACCCCTGACTTGTGCGCCCAGGGGCTAAGATCTGAACTCTTGGCCTGAAAGAGGGGCTCTGTTGAAAGAACAGTAGTCCTCCCTATGCTGAAATTGGCCAGTGGGATTTTTTCAATTTGCACCTGGTGTTGGGCAGGAGTTCATGAAAATCCACAGAAAGGAATGTTTCCGAGTTGAATGATGGACGGAGAAAAAAAAATGCTGAACGGTAGTCCTTTGGAATCATGAAAAGCACTGATTCAATTTGTAAAATGGAGACTTAAGTCTTTGCTGAGGAGGATGCTTCTCGGCCAGCCTTGGAGGTCTGCTCTCCACCAACACATGCAATGGAGCATTTGCCATCACCTCATCTGTTAGTCTTTGCAAGCTGAACTGAGACACTCAAAGCCACCCAGAGGGAGACAGAAAAGCTGTCCTTTTCTAACCAGGAGTCTTTTTCATCTTCTTTGTCCAATGCAGAAGGCTTTCTCCACCCCACTAAATATTGAAAATCCATACTCAGTGACAGCCCATTCTTGACAAAGTTGAAGAGTTTGGTTCTTTTCTCAGCCTACATTTTATTTCCAAAAGGGCCACAGTTTTTCTGTAAAATATGTGTCTTATTTCATCCAGAATTTTGTTTATCTTTTAAGTAGTATGAAAAAAAATGCTTATATACAAATTTCAAATGCCACTGAAGAGAGTAATTAAAAAACTTAAAGTCACCCTTAATGTTACTCTAGAAATGACCACTATCCAAGGATTGGAGGGTACTCTGTTACACTTTATCTACTAAGCATTTAGCAGCATACAAGGCATGCATTTTTTTTTAACTATTGAAGAAGAACCAAATGTATATTTTGGAACCTGCAACTACGAGAGCTGAAATTAAAATCACCAAAGACCACAGCATTGCTTTGCTGAAAGGACACGTCTCCACTTCTATTTTTCTTGACTTTACAGAGGATTCAAAGTCGTTGACAAAGTCTTTCTCTGAGCTCTTACTGCTTCTTATCGATTTTCTGTTCCAGTGGCCCCTTTTGCTCCTTGGTCTCTAAATCCTGTGGCTTCTAAAGCTCTTCTGTTATGTGACTTCTGGTTGATATGTACAAGAGGTCCAAATATGTGTTCTGTGAAATCACAAGGCATACATTCTAAAGATAATATAGAAATACAAAAGCACAGTTATGCAGTGAATTCTCTACACATAAAGAAACTGCCTCGCTGGTAAGTATAATTAATCGCAATGATTTTATTCCTGGCACATCGCTAGTTTTGAGAAGTTTAGGAAACTTTCAAATGACTTACCCTGAAAATACTAGATGGAGCATGTGTTTGTGAACTCTGGGGTCAAGGGATCAGACCTAGGGCCAGGTGGAGAGAGAGTGATTCAGGATTCGATTTTTATTCTAGGGCTGAGTCCTCACTAATGATGGTGGAAGGACAGTACTGTTAACCAAAGTAATGTAGAAAATCTTTGCTAAGTTTCATTTAAAGGCCCTGTAACTTTTTTTTACAGAAAGGGTTGTTCTGACATTGCGAGTTTCTGGTTTCTTCATCAGGCAAGGCTGCTGGCCTATCGCTCATGATTTCAATTTCCATTAAAACGCTTGTTTGCTCCCAGGTTGACTTCACCTCTGTCTTCTTCCTTTGTGGTCCTGCTTAAATGTACATGGATTCATCAGTGTGCTAGGTTAGGGCCATAGTCAGACTTCAAATAATTTGTTAAGCTGATAGATTCAAAGACCAGAAATACACACTGGACTTGCCAGTGCCTTTATGAAAAACTGAAAATTTGGGGCATATATAATAATGATAGTGAAATAAGGTTGATCTCTGACTGTATGCCATGCACTGAATCAGGTGCTTTATAAGTCTGATCTCACTTAATTCTCCATCGACCTTATATGGCAACTACATTTATTATTCCTAGCCTACGGATGTGTAAACAGAGGCTCAGAGAGGTTAAGTCACTAGCCCAAGGTCAACCAGCAGATAAGTTGCACGACCTAGATTTGAACCTAGGCTATTCCACTCCAGAGTCCTAACTACTGTCTGTCACTGTCTCTCTTTATGGTCCTAGGGCATTTCTCATCAGTTTACATCTGTGATGGCATTTCAGGTGAGCAAGGGATCTCAACCCTGGGTGCACACTGACTCCCTGAGGACCTTTTGAAATATACCAAGCCCAAGCCCAGCCTCCAGAGATTCTGATTTAATTGGAATTGAGGCCAATCCTGATATCTTCAGCTTAGGCAGAGGCTGGCATTTGGTTTTTTAGAAAAGTGATTCCAAAGCTCAGGCAAACTCTAGGTTAGAGATAGATTTTCTCTGAGAAACGGATGCACAGACTCTGGGAGTTTAATGCCCTCCCCTCATTCTTTTCACCCTGCTCTAAATGCTCATGCCTTCTTCCCCATGGACACTCCGGTCTCAAGAATCAGCTCCTATAAGAAGTTTTCTCATCATTCCCTTCCTTTGTACTCCCTAAGCAATTTCATATTTAGCTTGGCCCAGTTATTGTGGTGAGTGCCCTCTAGATAGATTTTGGTCGATTGACGTGTGCTACGTCTTCCTGCCCTGTTGATTTGTATAATCCTTAAGGACAGAACTGTGTCTTCTCCAACTTCTCTTTCCCTTAAGATACCTTGCTTCATGCTGTGTGTACAGGTGTGTGAAAAATGCTGGCTAAGTTAGTGGCAAAGCTTCTGTGGGATTTCAGACCTACGAGAGAGTGAGCAAGCAGAAAAGAGGAAAAATAAAACAAGAACTGACAGTCTTGGGGCTTCAGGAAAATTGAGGAAGGCCTTGCTGAGGGAGGGGATGATTGAGATGAAAATCTGAGGAGGCAGGCATGGAAATTCTGGAGAGTGTTCCAGACAGAAACCTTGGAAGCAGGCCTGACTTTGTGTGCTTGAGGAAGAGAAAGAGGGTCAGCGTGGGGCAAATACTGAACAAGGAGGCTGGTGCGGAGGTCAGAGATGAAGGTTGTGTCAGCATCTGCGGCCTTGCACATCACAGTAAGGAGTTTGAATTTCATTGTGGACATAATGGAATTTTGAAAAGTACATGTAACCAAACTGCGATTCACAGTCAACTGATGATGCAGATGCAAATGTATGTGGGTTGTCCTAATTATTTCATATATTTGGATGGAGGCCTTAAGGAAATTCTCCCAGTGACCTCAAAGGTAGGGAAAGCTTTAGTGTATTAGGTTATATTTGTTCCAACAAAACATGTCCATTGACCCAGTGCCTGAGGGACAGATCATCACTCACTATGGCTTTTTTCCTAACTATGCTGAAAGCGGGGAAAGGAAAGGAATACCCCTGACTAAATGTTTGTCTTATTTTACTCTGGTGGTAACTTGGCAGTAGCAGAATTGTGGTTCACCATGTCATTTAATAGCATCAATTGACTGTACAACTCCACTTTCTCTTTCGTTATTTCAGTATGAAACCTACAAGTAGCAGAAACCTGATGGTGGACATTTGGTATATTATTTATTGCCTCCCGAATTCTGTGAGTCAGGAGGCCAGGCATCGCCTCTGCTCAGGGTCTCAGAAGGCTGTAATCAGAGCGTCTGCTGGGCTGCATTCTCATCTGGAGGCTTAACCAGGGAAAAACCTGCTTCTGAAGTCGCTGAGGTTGTTGGGGAGAATATTTCCTTGCAGCTGTAGGACTAAGGGCCGCCCTTTGCCATGTGAGCCAATCTGCTAACAAGATGGAATCTTTCTTCTTTTTAAGTTTTAGTTGAAGTGTGGTTGATTTACAATGTTAGTTTCAGGTGTACAGCAAAATTCAGTTATACATATACATACACAGACATATTTGCTTTTCAGATTCTTTCCCATTATACGTCATTACAAGAAATTGAATACAGTTCCCTGTGCTATACAGTGGGTCTTTGTTGTTTATTTTATATACAGTAATGTATAATAAGATGAAATATTAAATAACACAACATAATCATGAAAGAGACAGCCCGTCATCTTTGCCATATTCTGTTGGGTTCGAAGCAAATCACAGGTGCTGTCCAGACACAAGAGGAGCAGAGTACACAAGGGCAAGAATACTAGGAATATAGGATCTGGAGTCATGGAAGCATCTTATAGTCTTTCCATAGCACTTGGTTTTATTAAAAAAAAGTATTTGTCTTTGGAAGTTATAATCTACTAATGTAATAAAATTCAGTAGTTGCTGATAAGCTGATACCTTGAACATTTTCCTTTTATAAATTTGAACTTTGTTCTTCATGGGTCTCTTCTGAAAGTAGAGGGGGAGGTACATCTTTTTAACATGAGTTTGAACTGGTTTGTAAACAAACAGCTGCACAGTTACTGGGTTTTATGACAGTCCAAGTCTACCTCCTATCTTTTTGAGGTAAGATCACTCCATCCCATACCATCCAACAGGCAGCCAAAATAAATCTATGGAATTTTTTACCTGCCTTGTTAGGAGACTGCTTTCTTTGGAATGTCTGCAGAGTGAGTGTCCTCTGTGCATGCTCACATGATGCTCTGTCATCTTTGGGAAGAGAGCCAACATTATAAAATATTGCCAGCAAAAAAATGGATCACAGCAAAATAACCCGGGCATTTAACCAGCCTGTGTGCTTGGCGTGCTTGATTTCCACGTCCTTTTAGCAGAGATTCGCCTTTTATTGCCATTTTTTGCCTAGCCGGTATTTTAGTGGTTCCTTTTGCTTCTGGAAACATCAGCCCCAAGATATTAAATCCAAAGTGTGGTGGTGTCAAGTCAGAAGCAGTACTAAGTAGATTGGCAGGAGTACTAAGAATTCCCATTACCACCATATTCACCCCTCCCAGCCTTCCCTCCCTGTTGCCACCGCCTTTTAAAAATGCGGACAGTTGATGTTTTCACAGACATACGTAAAGTGCTATGAACTAGGCTCCAGGTAAGACTCCTTTCTAGACCTCCACCCTTCTGACCAGACTGCTTCCCCCAAGCCTCTCCCGCTGAGGTGTTCTGGGACTTCTTCCATTTCAGGCTGATATTCGCTAAGAGAGATTTAGAAACACTTACATCTTTTTCTTTTTTAACCCTTGCCTTAGAATTCAAAGGTGGGGGGGGTCATCTTAAATATTGTCTGAAGGACAGATGTGAACTCGCTGCTTCCCAGACCCAGACAACTGGTTTGGTTTCTTCTATGAGAGGTGGTTGCTGCCAACCTCTTGAGGTTTCCTGGGTCAAAGAAACAGAATTTAGAACCTATAAGTGTTGACCAAGACAAATGCGGCAACTTTAATCAGTTAAGTATAAATAAATCAGAAATTCATGGTTTAAATTGCCTTTGAAATACATACACGCTTAGAGGTTAAGGAGAGAAAGCATTTGGCAGAACACATCTGCGGAGTCGCCAGCCATATAATGCTTGAAAAACAGCCAGGTAAAATTTGCCAAACATGAAAGCAGCCAGCTTCGCTCATCTCTACATTAAAGAAACATTAAAGTCTTTATTGACCTGAACCTACTGAATAAGGGGAATTTTAGGGTTGAGACTAATGTTTCTTTGAAAAAATCACCTCCAACTGCCTAATTACTGCTGAAATCTCTGTGCGATATTGCGTATCTAATGCCTGATATTCAATAATACACAACTGTGGAGTCTGCAAATAAGTAAAGGATGTTACGAAGAGGGCAGGGACGAATTCGCCTCATTAGGTCCAGCAAGCATAAGGACAAGTAATGGCCTCTCCCTGCAGTGGGAAGAAGTAAATGAAATGCTAGAAAAGATGGCATTACGTAATCAACAAGGCCACAAATGCATCAGGATGCAAAACGGCTCTCCCGAGAGGCCAGGTGGAAAGTATATAATAGACAGAGTTTTGAGGTTCTCAAAGGAAAAAAAGAAAAGAAGTAGTACTCAAGTAACAGTGATAATTATTATTTATTTGTTGTTGTTATTGTTGCTACCATTTATTAGATACCTAGCATGTGCTTAAAACTGGGCTATGCTCTATGCTAAACCTTGTGCATATACTACTTCTAAACCTAACAGCCCTTCTGCACAAGTATTCAGTTGTGTAAAATTATAAAAACTTTTATAAAATTCCTGATCAGAATCTAGAAGCCATGTTGTTGTCCATCTGAACGTTAGGTCACTATTGAAAGATATCACTGAACAGCTGGAATGCCTTATACTTAGAAGTCCTTGCAGATTTCCAACCATTCAAACACACTGTCTTGCCCAGTCTGATCCAAAGTGATTATTTGAAGCATATCACAGAACCAGTTGAACAACTATTAGGGATAGGTTGTCCAGTCTGTGCTCAAATTTGCTAAGAAGATGCAAATAGTATTTCTTAGAATTAATGGACCAAAGTTATTTCTCAGCATTAATAACCAACTGACCAATTCTGCACTGATTATGATAATGTGAAATAATATTTATTTTGAAAGCCTATGTACCACATACTATTCTAATAGTTTCTATATATAGTAATTCATTTAACCTTTGAAATAAACATGATATAATTTTTAATCAGGAGTGACTAGTATTTGACATAGTATTAGAACTGATGAACTGCTGTAACAAGCATCCTCCAAATCTTAGTGGCTTGATACAACAGAAGATTAATTTTGTGCTTACATCACAGTCAGTTGGATGATTGGCAGACAGCTTTTCACACCATGATTTGGGGAGGCAGCAACTTCTTTGGGGTCCTCAGAATCCTCTCCTGGTTCTTCTGTAACTGGGCAGCAGACAATGAGAGGAGAGAACAAGCATGGAAAATTTTGTGGGAGGTTTTTGGGGGCCATCCCAGTAGTGGCATAGCTACTTGTGCCCACATTCTAATGGTTAGAACTAGCCACAGAACCCCATACAGATGCAAGGAGAAAATGGGAGGTGTGATTTTCCTTTGTTCCCAGGAGGGAAAAGAAACAGTGTGGTAGACATACAACAGTGTTTCTGCCACAGATGGGTCCTGAAATTATCCCTGCTTTGTAGCTGAGGGAAATAAGGCACTGAAAGGTTCAGTACACAATATCACACAGTCAGGGAGTAGGGTGTAGATTCAAAAACAAGAAGTTTTATTCCTAAGCCTATGCTTGTAACCACAACTCTACTGCCCCTCAATTATTGCAGGGTGAGAAACATTATTCTCAAAACATCACTGTTTGGTTTGATAGTTTTACCCCAGGTCTAGTCCCAGATTTCTTTTTAGTTGAAGTATAGTTGGTTTACAAGTGTTGTGTTAATTTCTGATGTACAGCATGTTTCAGTTACGCACATATATTCCTTTTCATATTTTTTCATTATAGGTTATTATAACATATTGAAGATAGTTCCCTGTGCTATACAGTAGAATCTTGTTGTTTATCTATTTTATATATAGTAGTTAGTATCTGACGATCTCGAACTCCCAATTTATCCTTTTCACCTTCCCCCACCCCATAAGCATAAGTTTGTTTTCTATGTCTGTAAGTCTTTTTCTATTTTGTGAATAAGTTCATCTGTGTCATTGTTTTAGATTCCACATATAAGTGATATCATATGGTATTTTTCTTTCTCTTTCTGGCGTACTTGACTTAGAATGACAGTCTCCAGGTCCATCCATGTTGCTGCAAATGGTATTATTTTATTCTTTTTTTATGGCTGAGTAGTATTCTATTGTGTAAATATACTACAACTTCTTTATCCAATCATCAGTCGATGGGCATTTAGGTTGCTTCCATGTCTTGAGCCCCAGATTATTATTTAAACATTTTCATGATTGGGTAAGTGTGCCATTTGCAGGTCATATTCTAAACCATTTATTCAAACAAAACAAGATTCCAAACTCTATGCAAAAACTGAGTATCAGTCTTCCACCCCCACCACCCATGTTCTTTCCTAATCTTAGACCCACCCACTCACTTACTACCTGCTATTGCCACCACCACCAAAAAAGAAAAAAGAAAGAGAAAGTCCTGATAAAGCTTCCGTGGTATTTGGGAAGGGCAAAGGGAGTTTAGTTAGTTAATATCTGCCCACTCCTGAAATTAACCAGACATTTGGCTCTTGTCCTGTAATGGATGGTTAAAAATATCAAACCATAAGCTCTAAAAGAGTTGAGGCCAACTTTCAGCCTTGTGTTCCATGGCAGGCTGCTACATGACTTTCCTTACCCACAAATGCAGTTGCTCCTGCATCCAAACATATCTGAAGCTGTACCACTGGGGGTCCCCTGTGGTGCCTCTCCCTGAAGTCTTAGAGGCAACCTCGGGCTGGCCTGGGGTCAGACCCTTGGGAATCTTCAGAAACCTGCTTGTCAGATGTGTACATGTCAACACGCCACCTGTTCTGGCAGGAAACCAACTCTCTATTTCTTCCTCCTTTGGGAAGTGTGCCTGTTTCTGGCATCTGTCCCCACTTTTCCTGCTTCACACACCGAGACAAAGAAGTCATTTCAGTTCTCTTGCCATCTTTCCCACTTCTTAAAAAAAGTTCTTGAGTTCAACAGTCCCATTGACTTGGTTGTCTTCCTCTACTTTATATATTTTGAACTACTTTAGTTTCCTTATGCAGTATTCTTGCTCCATTTTTCTCTTCTAGTTTCTCTTGTTTCTGTTTGGAGTCTTAATTCCATCTCTTTTTATCACCTCTAATTATACAAAAGAACCCTCTCTTAAGTAAGATACAATCAACTATTGATCTTAATGGTTTTCATTGCTATTCTGGAACATTCTGTCATTTATCTTTAAACAAGTTTGATTATTTCCTTTTCTGTCCTTCTCATAAGGCATGCTAAGGTCTAGCCTGTCTGAATGACAAAACATGGCAGTATTAAACTGTGGGTTCACACGACTGATCTGTACTTTCAGAAACACTGCTTTCTGGATTTTTAAAGGAACATTAAGCTGTCACTTTTCCCCCAAATTCCTGCCACCTCTGTTGTTTCAAATGTGATTTCTTTGGAGTGTGGAAAGAAATGGGTTCTAAGAAGGTTGCCTCATGGTCGTGTAGGCAGGTCAGATGGATTTTCCTCTTCCTACAGAATCATCCTATGATCTTGAAAAAATGAAGCTGCAGGACAAAAGTGTATTTAAAGAAAGATATTATGGGACCGGAAGCTCAGAGCATTTAACTTTACTTCTGTGACTCAGATGGCCTCCCATTTTAAGCAAGTCATCTGAACGCTGTGTACTTTGGTTTTGCCTTTTTATAAAAAAGGAAGCCAATAAAAATATAGCACCCCAAATATAGGCCCCTAACAAACTTCCAATAAATGGCTCATTAAAATCATCTTCAGAACGATGTGGGTGAAAAATTAATGAATTTACCAGCAAGTTTGTCTCCCAGGAATCGGAATTTTGTGAACATTCTTTGCCCTCCTCCTTCTAGCGCCTCTTCCCAAACTGTTGGCTAGTTCTTCTCTCCCAATGAGCAATGTTTGGATTTGCCTGGTATGTTTCAAGAGGCATAACAATTTTAGTGAAAAGCATGAAAGGACAGGGCATGATGAGATTTATGGTGCGTCCTCTTGGACATGATGTGAATTTCCTTGTCCTCATCTGTCTGTCCACCCTATTATGTGTCACAAGTCAATAATCCTGCAAGTTGTCAAGAAAGGGCCCAATACTGGCTCCATCTCCGATCAGCTGCATAATTTTCAGCACGATCTATAACCTCTCTAAGCTTTAGTGTCCTCCTAAATAAAGACCTCCTTGGGAGCTATGAGGATAAAATGGAGAAAAGCATGAGAAACACTTAACACAGTGCCTGGCATATAGTTGACATGCAACAGTTAGCTCTCGCATCAGCTCCATGAAGAATATTTTTTAAATATTAAATGAATCTCTCTTCCTCTTCCTTTCAAACATTAATCCCTGGCAAATCCTGTTTCCCTAAATTCCTTTGGCCTTTCCAGTTGATTGCCACAGGGAAAGAGTGGGTAGGCACACACGAAAACTCAGAAGTTATCATTTAGCTCTGAGCTGAAAAGTTCTGAGCTGGTAGTGTGACAATCACCTTGAAAGCCAAGCTTTTGAAAAAGAAAAGAGCCTTTTGACTGTGAAGCTTCCCTTCACTTAACAGGAGTCAAGCCCAGTAGATTTGGACTCTAGAGCTTTACTTACAAGCCCTAGGAAAAGGAAGAAGGAAAATGTGATTCAAGAAAAAATTTCACCTGACTGAAAGGGAAAGTAAGAAAACACCTCAGGTTAAGAGGAGTCCAAGAAGAAGAAGGAAAGAGAAGCAAGATGGCAGAATGGAGGAATATGAGTTCACCTTCAGGATGAAAATTGTGGGTGGAAGACGGTTTGAAAAACTCTGAGAGAAGGCTGACATAGCCCTAACATCTCAAAATAAGTATAGAGAATTTGAGAAGCCCTTTAGGGGAGCCCCCTGGTTTCAGTCTAGCACTGGCCCCTCCCAGGTGGGAATTTAGAAAGGCCCAAGAAATCCTACATGGCTGGGATGGAGTTCTAGAATCCCTGGGCATCTCAATAAAAGCAAAGATTAACCAGTATATATAAAATAGATTAAAAAACAAGTATCTTCTGTATAGCACAGGGAACTATATTCAGTATCTTGTAATAACCTTTAATGAAGAAGAATATGAAAATGAATATATGTGTATGTATACATGACTGAGACATTGTGCTGTACAGAAATTGACACATTGTAACTGACCATACTTCAATAAATAAAAAAAAAAGGAATCAAGAAGTGCTAGAGACCACTGAACCAGAGAAGGACTGAGAAAAGTCCAAGACATGAGATAAGGAAGTTATTTCATGACGCTCAGTCCTCTAGTCAGGAGACTGGAAGAAACCACAGACTTCTTCTGCCTCAAGTGCTAGGTGTGATTGAGATAAGCTGGATCACACTAGGACAAGCACAGTCACCAGAAACAAGATCCAAACGGTCACCTGGTGTTGGAGGCCTGGAGCACCTGTCCAAGAGCAGCAGAGGCAGAGTGACCCCTCTGTGGTAGCCTTAACTTTCCTCTCCTGCCTGTGGAAACGAAGCGCCTCTGAGCAAGATATGATCTGAGAGAGAAGTTAAAGAATCTATATTTCTTGTTGTGAATCTGAATATAATTGATAAATTTCCAACCCTTCTACAAAAATAATCAAGAACTGGCTTCATATGGAAGCTGACATTCAGTTTGTCTGTATGTAAGGGGATTTGGGCATAGGACATCTAACTACATCACAGACCTGTGGTGAAAGAGGGAAAAGCCTTTTGAAAAAGAAATTTTCAAGCTCCACAGAATAAAGATGGTAGTCTGCCACAATAACGTATTATTTTTTCATATGAGAGTGGGTCACCTGAGGGCATCTACCAAAACATACACACCTGTAGACACGTCACGCCAACCACTTAGCCATAGGAGTGGTCCTGAACAAAGTTTATGAGTCCTAATCAGATGTAACCTCGCTACTGACTGCCTGAAGCATTCCCTGTTTGGGGCTGAAGTAATCCAACTAAAAATATACCTACCAATCAAGACCTCCCTGTTGTTCCTAGCTGCACGGAGGCTCAGGGCAGAAAAAGTCTCCTAATATACTTCAGAGGGCCCACAGCACTTCAGGATACTAATTCACACCAGTATGGTGGAAGGCAGAATAGATGTGTAGCACAGTTCCCAATAATGTCAGCAAACTCAAGGTGTTAGCATGTGAAATGCGGTTGTTATGCTGATGACAGTGATTATATCAACTGTTCCTCCTTACAATCCTTGGGTGCTTTTAGATCCTGGACACTAAAGTTAGCCACCAGTAATTTAGAGGTCAAATTTTCAGCAGCCATTCAAAATTAATTGGTTCATTTCAACTCAGGGGTATTAGGCAACAGAAGGAATCAGGTTCTCAAACTGGTTTGTACCACATCTTTGTAGCTCATGCTTGATGAAGTCCTGAGCAAATAGTTCTTTCAGACATTACTCAACCAGGAGGTCATTTCTGCTGTTGTCAGAATGGAAATCCCAAGAACACATATTTTAGAGTCCACAGACAGTCTGCATAGTGTACTTCAGTAACTTCTAAAGCTTCACTGTTGGAAAATTCTTCATTTTGTAACCTAAGTCTTCCAGCCTCGTGAGGATTCACAATATCCTTGAATGGTCATCAGTCTTGTTCCAAGTCTCCATCTTGGATATATGAAGTCTCATCATCTCAAGTGTTTCTAAATGTTCCTGGATGGCTTACATTCCTGGTGGTTGCTTATTCTTAGTTAGGGATTGGGCATGGCTGCACGTAACCCAAACTTGACTGCTGTAGTTTAACCAAGCAGAAGCGGGGCAGTTTTTTCTCCTACTTCCAGTCTGGCATTGAGCTGTCCGAGGGCTCAGTGAGGTCTTCGGTGTTCCAGGCTCCTTCAATATTTCTTTCCTCTATCCTTAACACAAGGCTTTGCCTCATTCTTGTTGCTTCCTGGTTACAAGATGGCTGCCCCCGTTCCAAGCTCTGGTCTTTGCTCTCAGCAGAAAGAAGGGACAATTGACTAAGGGGCAACCCTTGAAGCAGGAAAGGAAAACTTTCCCAGAAATCCCTCGCGGACTTTTAATTAGGTCTCAATGGCTTGACGTGCATGTCAGTGCTTTCCCTGAAGCCTGAGAAAGGAAGGATTTCAGCGAAGTGCATTCCCACCTGAAACAAAAATACGAACATGGTTGGTAAGGAAAAAGGGAGGTATGGCATCTGAGCACCCAGCAGTGTCTGCGAGCCTCCCCACCCCTCATCCTGAGCCACTGCTCCTGGCTTCTCCACACGAGCCAAGACTGGCCAACTCCTAAGTGCTGGGCGAGGCAACTCTAACTCTAGATATGAGGTATGAATGCCTCCTTGGCAGCCTTGCCTCCTCCTGAGGGAGTAGCCTCCAGGGCATTATTTCCTGTTCTTCCAGCCTGCCGCCATAGTGCTGAGACCACCTTATTTCCTTATTTATTCAGTTAACGTGTTTTGAGCAACTTCTATGTATCAAGGACTATTCTAGACCTGGAGATATGGAAGACACCAAGATCTCAAGGCCCCACCCTTCACGGACCTTACATTATCATGGAGGAAACTGGATTTTCACCCCGAGTTGTCCCTTTAGCTAGGTACCTCTGTGTAGGACACAACCTGCCCCACTGTTTCTGATGACCCTGATCATCCCCCAGCATCAAGACTTCTGCCTCTCTTTCTCTCTCTACTAGAAGAAGTCAGAAAAGAAGAAAAGCAAGTGATAAACACTGCTTTTTCTTAAATGAATCCACTGACCTAGTCCATGTTTCTTGTTCAACAGGATATTTACCATCTCAATCTGAAGCACCTGTCTCTAGGTCACTCCATTTGTTCAGAGCTTCCTCAGAAAGAACATTTTCACTATTTTCCTGCTTGAGAGAGACTTTGCTTTAAACACCAATTCCATTTCCACCTTCGCAGCTACCAGGAGTTTAGGAAATCTGGGACCCCATACTTAATGGAGATTCTTCACCAGTTGATTCCTGCCCATTGACAGTTGGTGGCCTAATTTTCCCGGCACATTTCAATTGACCGTCTGTGTGTTCTGAAGCTCCTTCATAAAGTTCAAATTTAGTGTTGATTTGGGTCTAGTTGATCTGTTGTTGCCTTGAACCTCTCCTTTGGTTAGGGGGAAAAGCATAGTAAAATCTCAGTCCTGACTTTTCCTGCCAACTCTGGACCCCAGGTCTAAAGGAAACATGACAGTGCCAGTCATATCCAGAGGTATTCAAAGAGGAACAGGTTCCCTGAGGAGGTGTGAAAAGTCCGTAGACAGGTGGTCAAGGGTAATGTGGTTGAATTTGTAAATTTCTAAACTTCCCAAAATGTCCTCCTTACCAAACTGCCTCAACTCCAGTTCCCACACTCTGTTTTGTGTTCTCTATCCCAACTAAGCATGGGATTTCCTTCTCTCACCTCAGAACCTCCCCTCATGTGCTTTTCCCTGCTCTCTGCCAAGCACATCCTTCAAACCATCACTCAGGATGGTCCTCCTCAAGCTTGGCACATACTACACCACCCTCCCTTTCCTCACCCTGTTCCACCCAACTCTTCCTTGGCACTTGTATATGGCTCTGTCCAACTGTCCATCACCTTTCCCCTTTACTGCTGGCTCTTCTGGTTCATCAGGACATGACACAGCTCACCAAAGGGGCGACAGGGTCTTCTGCACCCTCAGGAACTCCCCATTATGTATTGTGTAACTCATTGCACAGAATAGATCATCTGTAAATCAGGCCGCTGCAGGTTTAAGATGAAAGTTTTCTCTTCAGCACGCTCAATTTTCTAGGCAATTTGCATTTGAGACTGCAAAGCAGTGGGTGTGTAACTGGCTCCAACCTTCTCTGGGTGGTGATGCAATCGTCGGGAGGCCATCTGTGTTTCCTCCATCTGTTGAGGCTTCTCTGCGCCTAAGCAAGTGTAATAAACC